CTGTCTGTTCGCAGCCCGGAGCCGAACCGGACCCGAGCTCGGGCAGAGGAGGTCGGGCTCCGTCGATCAGGTCTGTCTCGAGCAGCTCCTACGGTCCCGCTCGCTTGCTCGCTCGCCAGCGGACGCGGCCACGACGTCTGACCGGCCGGGGCGCGTCGACGACTGGCGGCAGGACGAGGGCGAGACGAGGGTAGATGACGAGGCGTGTGGCGAGCGACCTCCCGCTCCCCCTCGTGCTGCTCATCCTCCCACTCCTGCTGCGCAACTGCTATCGGACCGGGCCCGCAGTGTTCGCCACCGCGCGCGGTCGTCGCGCATTCGTTCGCCTCCTCCGCCTCCTCCTCCTCCTCCTCCTCCTCCTCCTACTACTACTCGAAGCTTGGCGTCCAGAGGCTTCAGTCTTACCCATGACCCAACTCTGCCCCCTCGTAGAGTTCTGGCCTTTTTCTAGGCCTCCTAGATGGGGTCGGAGGATCGCGCCGCATTGCCGATGCATCGACGATGCGGCTCCACGCGTAGCCCGGTTATCTTTACGCCGACATCGCCGATGCGTTGGCGACGTCGACGATACATCGCCGATGCATCACCGATGCATCGGCGATGCAGCGCGATCCACCGACCCCATCTATCCCGACACCATCTAGGAGGCCTGTACTTCAGCAGGGGCACGGGCAGCGCGTCGATCGCTCATCCAAGGACCTCGGCACCTGCGCGCTGGACGCGGACGCCGTGGGGGAGCCGCCCGCGGAGCACGGCGCGCCGCGGGGCCTGGACTACGGGAGGCTCCGGAAGGCCCGCGGGAGGGGCGCGAGTTGCCCCTAACAGTAAGTCGGGCATGTCCCTCTGCAGGAGGAACATTCAAGAACATAGTCTGGGGACGACTTTCTACCATTTTTCATATTGTTTGAATTTTGGTTGGACTATTTTCTATGTTTCTGCCAAAATGCGCCCGTAGGAGGTCATGCCCGACCTAACCCGAACAGCGTTTAGCCCGAGGGTCTTACAAAGCGCTCTGAGAGCGTTCTGGAACGCTCGGGAGGGCCTGCTCTGTCGGGGGTGGACAGAACCCCCAACCTGACACGTCGATTAGTAAGTTGTCCGCTTTCGGTTCTCAAGAGGGCGCCGCGGCCGTCATTTTCCAGGCTTGCGCCCGCCAGGTTTGGGCCCGGGATCGTTTTCACTGAACCACGTTTTACTAAAGGGGGTTCTGCCCATCCTCGACACATGGGCTTCCGCCCTTGAGAGGAGGGGGCGCAAAGGGGGGGTGAGGACTCGCCGGGAGCCGCGCCCAGACTGTGGGGATGATGTCTCGGGCGAGGCGCTGGTCCCTGCACTCCCAAGGGGTGAGCGCCAGGATTCGTACACAGATTGTGAGGATGCTCATAAGGGGAACAAAAGGGGGTTCTGTCCATCCCCGATTCTGGATCGAGCCTCGTGCGACAAAAGGAGAGGAGGCCACGCGTCTCACCCCCAGGGGCTCTTGGGGCCAAACTGCCCGCGGTGCAGCATCGAACGAGTATCGTCGAAGATATAGGGGGTTCGAGTCTTGTAGACGACGATCAATGGAGCGGAAGCATGTCGCCAAATAATTTCCTGATGTCCGAAACATGTTTAAACCATGTCTTAAACATGCAAAATACAAGGTTTAAACATCTGAAGAAGATGTTTCATACAGTTGAAGCACACATTTACTTCAATGATCGGATTGTTAGGGTGTCCACTTCATGGCATCCACATGTGCAGCATCGAACGAGTATCGTCGACGATATGGGACCCCAGGCGGACCCGTCTGCGCCAGCCGGGGTGACCCGTCCAGCCGCTGGGCGCGCAGAGGGCCCCCGTGGCCGCCTGGCGTGCCCCTCTCCTCGTAGACTCCGGCGTCGCCTTCTTTCGCACAGGGCGCTCTTTCGCCCAGCTGTGTCGGGCCCCCGTGGCCGGGAGCCTCACGGCTCGATCCGGCTTGGAAAGCCTTGGCATCGCTCAGACGTGTGCGATTTTTCCTCGGCGAGGACCATCGAGGAGCATCCTTGATCATTTGGCGAAACAGCCACGCACGAAACCGAAAAAAACACCGGGAATGGACGTTTGAGCGATGGCGAGAAGCGCGGCAGCCAGAGAGGGTCTATGGCTCTGGTCGCGATCTTCTGCGGTGTTGCCATTTTCCTGGAGAGCGTTTCGCCAGAGGGACTTGAGAAGAGGCCAAGGAGAATCCACAGAGGAGTCGTACAGGGGGTACGGGGAGCCTGGGATCGCTTGCTCCGGCAGCCGTGCTGCCTGAGATGTTCAGTCGTTTGTTCAAGATCTCGCCTTGACGCAGTCTACATGTCTAGTCTTGACGGCCACGATCTCTGATAAACAAACGTATGATGAGGTGCGCGTGGCCATGCTTCTCCTATTCCTCGACCCGCCTCCTCACCTTCGCTGCTGTCATGGTGCTCTGCTGGGGTAGGTTCATCCCGGCGTACGTCTTCGATTTCGGCTCATGGGGCCCGTCACCGGGCCCTGGGGCCGTCACGGGGCTTGGGGGCGAACAACTTGCCCTGGGGAAGTGGTCGAGAGGCGTCTGGGGCGCGTACCGACACCATTGCGTCGGCGGATGTCTGGGTCTCTCCCCTCCCCAGATGCCAAAGAAGACTGAAGGGTTTTTAGCACAAGCGCCGGAAGCAAATCAGGGGGGCCCAGCAGCGCAATGGTTCTCGCAACGCGTTGCAGAAATACTCTTAGCTTGCTCGATGGCATCGCCACGGTTCGGGACACGGCACGAGGCTCCCGAGGTCGCAGGGATTGCATTTGAACGCGTTGCGTCAATGATGCGCCAACTTGCCAGAATGAATAAAACGCACGCGCTCGCACGAAGCAGTTTAGGAACATATACATACCATGTGCCAATCGACGCCCCAGCAAAATTGCAAACGTGTTTTCGGCGAATCTGGTGCCCGGAAATTCTGCAACGCTGGACAGGCCAAACGGTTGCAACTTCGAGAGGCGACCGGCCTAACCAATGCGCGCAGACGGTTGCGCCATTTTTTGAGTGTTGCGCAAGCTTGCCAGCCCGAGGAGCACAATCGTTTGATTAGTAATGACGTGCCAGAACTCACCGGGTATAGTATCGCACAAACGATTGCGCTGCAACCCAAGTAGCCGCAAGCTATTGCATAGCAACCGCTTCAGCCACAAACCGTTGCATCGTAACCGTTCCAGCCACAAACGCTTGCAATGCAATCGTTTGCGGCCTCATCTTCCAAACAGTCCTGCAGTTTCGACCCAGTCCAGCCCGTGAGAGCGACCTAGGTGTGCTCATCATTATCCCCTGTCTCCTCTGCTATTGGATTCGATGATCGTCGAAGTTGCTGTTCATGACGCAAGTACCCTCGGGCGCTTCTCTCACAGGCCTCGGGACCCTCTTGCTGAAGCCCCTGAGATATCCCTCGCCCTGGGGCCTTCGGGGCGGACGATGAAACTATGTTTGCAACCGCCACCGCGCTCAGCACAGTGGACATCAGATGTGCGCGGCTCCCAGAGACGGTCCTCGGCACGGAGACTGGCGAGGCGTGGGGTCGAGGGCACTGGGGTCCCGCGCGCTGGGAGAGGAGCGGAGGAGCCGGGGGCCAGTCGGAGGCATGCGTCCCTCGCCGGAAGGCGGTTCATGCGCTCCAGCGTGCCGGCCTCAGGGTGATCTTGGTCAGCCAGCAGGACTTGCGCCACGCGCTGAACACAGGGATCAGCGGCGGGGTGCCCATTTCGGGGGCACGCAGAGGTGAATTCAGCCTAAGGTGGGCGACGGGGGAAAACGGGGTCGACTGCGTGGACATTCGCGAAAGGTCGTGCGTAAGCGCCCTCTTCTCAATGGGGTGTGCTACGGTGGCGACCCGCGTACGCCACCGCGTAAGGTCTCCATGCCATCTCGCGTAAGACCAGTTTCCTTTCGTCGCCCAGATGGGTTTCTGGCGTCTTCCTCCAGGAGCCGTTCAGGGCGATTGTCCTCTGAAACCCGCCTCTGGCCCTACCCCACCTCGACGCCCCCCCGAATCGTTGACTCTCGCGCCCTGGCCCACGTGCGCGCCGTGAACGACACGGTCGTGGACTTGCTTCAGACGGCAGAGGACCCGTTGTCGCCCCCGCCGGGGCAGGGCGGGGGGCCCAGGGGGACAGCCGGGCGGGGCCCCCTGGGGCTGCGAAAAGCACGCGCGAGTCAGTAGAGGCCAGCGCGTTTGCGCCACGTGGGCGGACCAGGGCGAAAGCAGGGTACACACGTGTTGCCCGCGCCCTCTCCACATGTGTGCACAGCACGCTCGGCCCCGGCGTACAGCTGGCACAATGCTTTGGAACAGCCCCGGCATCCGAAGGAGGTCAGTTGTTTGTGCTCTTCGTGCTTTGCGGGCTCCTTACCTTGGAACGCTCTTCCACGAGATCCTGGCGCATCGATCTCTTCGAACAGGGCGTTCTCTCCCTGCTTCGGGCCCTGGGGCCCTCACTGATCGATCCGCTCCGGGACACGGCGCAGACATCCGGGGGCTGGGGCCCCCGCCGTGCTATCTCGCGGCCCTGCCATGTCCTCGAGGCGTCGGCTCCCAGGGCATGGGCCCTCCCCGCGGAGCCTCGGGCCCCCTGACGGGGGCCCTCCTCCCGCTCCCGGCCCCGAGCTCCTGCGGGCACTGCCCTGCCATGTGTTCGCGGCTTCGGCTCCCAAGGGCATGGGCCATTCCCGCGGAGCCTCGGGCCCTCTGACGGGGGCCCCCCTCGTAGAGCCTCGACCCGAGCTCCTGCGGCCTCCTCGTGGAGCCTCGTGGGCCTCCTCGGGGAGCCTCGGGCCCCCTCACGGGGGCCCTCCTCCCGCTCCCGGCCCCGGGCTCCCGCGGCACCGCCTGCCGCTGCAGCCCTCGGCGAGCTCCGCGGGCGGGGCCTGGGCGCGTGTGCGGCCCAGCCTCCTGGCAGCTGCCCTCCTCCCCTCCTCCAGCTCCTCCTCCCCCCTCCTCCTCCTCCTCCTCCCCCTCCTCCTCCTCCTCCTCCTCCTCCTCCTCCTCCTCCGTAGCCATTTTGGCTCAAGTTCCATGCTGCTGCGGGCCGAGCCCGCATTGGCACTCACGGATACCGCTGGCCCGCGGCGAGCAAGGCCCCTGTGCCTGGCAGTCTTTTGCTTGTGCCTCTTCCGTGGGAGTTGGGCCCCCACACCGCAGTCGCCCGTCGTTCCTTGCACTCTCGGCATGGCTGATGACGCTCACGGCGCAGTGGTTCCCTCGTCGTTGGTCGAGCAGTTCGATCTCGTGGCGACCTTCCCCTCGCAGGAGCTGGGCGCTGGCCGCGGGAAAGGTGGCAAAGGAGCTGTCCCGCCTCCTCGCAAGCGTGCTGCTCATGACCCTTCTGCTGCAGAAGGGGCCGACGGGACCGACGCCTGGTCTTCCGATGACTACCTTCGCCAGTTGTGCCGCGACGAGTTCGATTCCATGCGGGCCGTTCTCACATCGGCCGTCTCCGAGTCCATCAGCGCCACCGTGGCAGAGAACCGCAATGTGCTGTTGGGGTCCATCGACAAGCTTCGGGAGCAGGTCTCTGGTCAGTCCGCGGCGATCGACCAACAGGTGCAGAGTGTGGTGCGTCCCCAGGTGGATGCCCTTTCTCGCAGGCTCCAGTCGCAGATTGACGAGCACAAGAAACAGATCGATGCATGTGAACGGCGGCTTGGGGATCACGACGACCAGCTCTCGGCTATTCGTGCTGAACTGGCTGAGCTTCGCCGTCATCTTGCTGTTGCCGAACAGCGCCCTCAGGCTCCCCCGCAGATCCCCACAGGCTTCGACAGGGGCGCCGACTCCACCCTCCTCATCGCTGTGGCCCAGCGTGCCACCTCCATCGAGGCGATGTCCGCCTGCCTTCAGAGCTTCCTCTTGGACACGGGGTTCGACGCCAGCGAGTACGAAATCGTTCCCAAGGGCACCCTCCCGTCCAAGCGCTTCGCGGTTCACTTCAAGGGGATGGTGCAACCAGCATCGAGAAAGGTCCTGCGTGCCCTCTCAGCCCTCAAGGACGAGAACGGGTGGAAAGCCTTCTTCGCCGACCTCCCTGGCACCTCCGAGCGCGCTCGCGTTCACATGGGCCCCGACAAGTCGCCGAAGCAGGTCAAGATGGAATACGTATTTAGAAAGTGCCGCGCCGCCTTCGCCACCGAGTACCCGTCGCTGCGCCTCTTCACGGATCGGGACCGCGGGTTCCTTTCCATTGGCTGGGACAAGATTCTCAAGGTCGAGGTGGAGGCTGGGGATGCTCCTCCTACTTTGCGTTGGGACGTCGCCAAGCTGGAGCGCCACGACATCTCCAAGGCCCACGCCCTGCAGCTCACCTCTTTCCTCACGGCCTCTGCGGATGAGCCCGCGTGGTGTCTTTGACGCGCGGTCCCTGTTTTCGTGTTCGCGGTCCTGTTCCTCGGGTTCGACCACTGCCCTGCGAGTGGGTACTTGGAACTGCAGGGCCCTTCTTCAGGCTGCGGGGGCCAAAGCAGCCATCAAGCGTAACTACCTCTCCAAGCTCGGCCTCGACAAGTCCATCGTCTCTTTGCAGGAGGTGCACCAAGACGCCCTTCAACTGGAACACTTCGTGCATCGTGTGTGCCCGCGGTCCACCGTTCTTTCGAGCTTCTGTGGTCCTGAGCCTGCTGACCGTGCGCGCGGTGGTGTCGCAGTTTTGATCCCTCCTCTCGAGCATCTACCTGAGGATCCTGTGCGAGTGGAGTCCCATCCTCTGGTCCCAGGCCGCGTGCTGATGGTCGCCCTGCGTGCGACTCGCGCTTGCGTCTACCTCTTCAACGTCCACAATCACGAGCTGGGGGCCACCGCCGTCACAAAAGTTCGTGATGCAGTACGTGCTGCTCTCGCTGAAGCTCGAGCCGAGCCGTTGCGAGTCCTGGTGATTCTGAATGGGGACTTCAATATCTCTGAGGAGTCCGCAATGTCTCTGCTGGCACCGGTTGCGGCTTCTCGTCGCGGTGGCCGTCGGCACCATGCAGCCGCGCCTTCCTGGAGGTCCATCTTCGACGACATGCTTGAGGTCCAGGGCAGCGAGCCTACCCACTTCGAGCGGGCAGCGGGCAAGGCCAGCATCTTGGATCGGGTCTTTCTCTCCTTGCAGGGCTGGCAGGTGTGCCAGATGAATCTTACTTCCGCCACTATGGGGTCTGCGGCGGCGCTCTCGGATGCGAAAATCTCTGATCACACTGCGGTCATCGTCTCTCTTGCTTCCCGCTCTGCTCGTCGTCCTGCTGCTCGCCCTATCCCGCGCCGCCTCTGTCGCGATCCTCGCTTCGTTCGCCGTCTACGTGGATTGGTGGCCTCTACCTCATGGGACGGCATGTCGCCACCTTTCAAGCTAGAGCATTACAAACATCTCATGCGTCTTGCTGTGTCAGAGGTGCGCGACTCGCTCTTTACTGACAATCCCGACAGTCTCGATGCTTTGTTGCAGGTGGCGCGAATGATCTCGCGCGTGGTCTGGGGGCAAGATGTCAAATTGGCCCTTCGGATGCTTGAATCTCATCCTCGCGTCCGAGATCACATCACCGTCCGCTCCTCGCAGGTTGTGCTCATTCATCCCCCGTCTTTCTCGGAGTGGGCTTCATCCATCCAACGGGAAGCTGCTGAGGTGCGTCGTCGTGCTCTTGAATCTCAACTCTCTCGCCAGCCCTCTGCTCGCGCCACCCGACTTCAGTTGCGTGCTTTGGAGAGGAAAGCGAGGCTCTGGTCACCATTCTCTCGCTCTTTGGCATTGTCGTCGATACGAGTATCAGACGATTGTGTGGCTTCTGACCCTGTGGAGCGCGTTGAGGCCCCGGCTTCCCACTGGAAACCCGTCTTCTCGCGGAAATCTTGGGACGCTGAGGCGGCTCAGGCATATATCCCTTCCTGGCTCGGTCCCGTGAACACCATCGATCTTCCGCCTCCGACTTTGGCACAGCTTCGACGGGCCCTCCACGCGGCCCAGGACTCCGCCCCTGGCATCGACGGCCTACCTTGCTCTGCGTGGGAAGCGCTTCCGTTTGGTCTTCATGTGTTGATGGATGCTCTCGATTGGATTGGTGATGGTCAAGCTCTCTTTGATTGCTCCTCTATCACTATCCAGGCCTTTCTCCCGAAGCTTGTCACAGACGCTGAGTTACGTGATGGTGAGTGCACTCGTTCGCCCGACAAGGTTCGTGTCCTTGGATTACGAAACACTGACGTCAAGTTGCTGTCGTCCGTCATGAATCGTGCTCTCCAACCTCTCATCCATCATATCGTCCCGCCTTGCCAACGGGGGTTCGTTGGTGGTCGCAATTTTGGAGTCAACATCCTGGAGCTGGATGCGCATGCTCGCGAGCTTTCGGTGGGCCCTCCTGGTTCGTCCGACATCCCGCTTCTTTTCTCGCTCGACTTCGGCCAGGCGTTCCCCTCTCTCAATCAGGAGTTCATGGCGTGTGTTCTTCAGGTGCTGGGGCTTCCCGAGACCTTCTTGGCCTTTGTCTCATTTCTCTACTCGGCCATCCAGGGCGTGGCCTCGGTGAATGGGGACTTTGTACCGATCTTTTGGATTCGCAGTGGGATTATACAGGGCTGCGCGCTCTCGGGCTCCCTCTTCGCCCTCGCAACCTCTGCCTTCCTCAAGGACCTAGTGCACTCCTTGGAGCCCTCTGGTCGCGGGTTGGTTCGGGCTTGCGCTGACGACATCGGCGGTGCGACTCGGTCTGTGGCGGACCTTGTCCCTGTGCATCGGGTGATGGTCTTGGCTGACATGTTTGCGAACCTCTCCCTGAAGCCCTCCAAGTGCCTCCTGGTCCCCCTCTCGGGCGTCTTCTCTGAGGAGCTGGCTGCTGCTGTGGCCGAACAACTTCGAGTATGGGTCCCTGAGTGGGCCTCCTTTGGCGTTGTGGAGGAACTACAATATCTTGGGCTCTGGCTTGGTCCCTCAGTGACCGTTGAACGTCAATGGCGGGCTCCATTGGCCAAGGTACAGCATCGGGCTCAAGCTATCGGCCGTGGGGCAACCCCGCCCAGTCTGTCGGCCATACTCTATTGCACACGTGCGGTTCCGACATTGTCGTATGTCGCTCAGTTCTGCCACATGCCGCTTGCCGTCCTTCGCCTGGAACTCATGACCTTGGCGCAGGTCTTCCGTGTGGCTCTGGGCACGTTCCCGCTTTCTTGCTGGTCCCTACTTCACGCTTGGGGAGGTCCTCGCATCACCCGCTGGGCCTTTATGGGATGTGCGGCGCTTGCCCGCGCAGCTCTTCATACGTTCCCGCAGTTCAATGACATCCACGATCGGCTCCGACGTCACGTGGCTGCTCATCCTGACTGGTGCACTCTGGAGATGGTTGGTTCTGGCAGATGCTATCCGCACTTCTGGCGCTCGGAGGCGTTCGTGGAGATTCTCCAGCATGCGGCTGCTGGTACCCGCACTGGCTCGCCGTCACCTTGCTGGTCCCCTGATTGGCCGTCGGTTGCCGCGGTCGCGGCACGTGTTGCGTTGGCAGACGCGGCGGCCCATCGCCCTCGCCCTCAGCGCGCTGCCCATGCTGCTCTCCGTGCTCTTGGCCCTGCCGTATCGCCGCTGGTGTCCCTGCTCCAGGCTCGCCTCGCCAAGCTGCTCCCGCGGCACGCCTCCCTGGTCGCCTCCCTCCCGTGGGACTCAATCGCGAGCACGCTGGCCTCTTGCCCCTGTTCCTGGGCCTGGGCTGCGCTTCGTACCTGGGCTGATGGTTGGATGACATCGCACCGCATCCTGCACCCCCTTGGCAAGCGCTGCTGTGCTTTCGGGTGTCCTGGCCACCCCGACGCCCTTCGACACTGCGCCCGATGCCGCCCCTTCCACAACGCTCTACGTCGGGCTCTGGCGCGCCCTCTACTTCTTCCTGTACTTCATCGTTGGGGGCTGCTGGAACCAAGTCTGCCCGCCTTTCACTTCCTCGCGGTCGCCTACGCGGCCTACAACGCGGCCAAGGGCGTGGAGTGCTGGCCGCTTTCGGCTGAGTCCGCCTTCTCCTGTGCTTTGGCTGGGGTGCGCTCTGCCGCCTTGGCGCGGCCCGCTGGGATCTCGGCCCGAGATCGAGTGCTGCTTCGTCCGCGCCGTACGTGTCCCTCACCCTCGTCTTCCTCAGCTTCCTCTGCGAGCTCATCTGCGAGTCGTTCGCCGAGGTTGACGCCGCCTGTCTCTGTCCCGTCAAGCTGCCCTACGTCGCCGCGTGCTCGGGAGTCTGCTGGTGGCCCCACCCCTGCCGTCTCCTCGCCGTCGACGCCCCCTACCGAAATTGCTACCGACCCCGAGGACGCGGAGTCTCGTGATCTTTGGGCGTCAAGGATGGAGCTGCGCAATGAGAGTGATGAGTGTTCCCCTGTCCCTGCTTCGGGGGTGGGAGTGCCGCCTGCAGGACCTTGGGCGTCAAGCGCATGTGGCAGCAATGAGCAGGAGTGTCCATCTCAGACCCAGGGACGGAGCCCGTCGATGTCGATTTCCACCCCGCCGAGCTTGTCTGCGCCCACTCAACGAAGTCAGATGTCGCTGCCGAGTCAGAGGTTGCCTTCTCCGTCGGTTCCGAGTGTGTCCTCGGCTCTGAGTGCCTCGCCATCGACTTCTCTGATGTCATTGCAGTTCCTTTCTGCCCGTGATCGCCCCGCCCCTCTGTGCGCTTCGTGTCCATCGCCCTGTCATCTCTCCTGCGCTTCATTTACCGCTCCCTCTTCGATTGCTGATCGTTCTCATTCTGTGTTCGACCTCTCTGGGGCTTGCAGAGCCTCCGTGGATCACGCCATGGCAGAGCCTCTTGGCCACACTCCTCGCCCTCCTCTTTCTCCCTGTCCTCGGGTGAGCCTCCCTGGTGCTGCTGCTGCTGACCCTCCCGACTCTCTCTCCCTCGCGCCGCCTGCGTCCTCGGCGGCTGCGCCCCCGCTGCGGCCCGGGCGCGGCAATGGCCGCCTGCCCCAGCGCCTGCCTCGGCGATAGGCAGGCAGGACAGACCTCTCTTACGCTGGTCCTCCTCCTCCTCCTCCTCCTCCTCCTCCTCCTCCTCCTCCTCCTCCTTATCCTCCCCCTCCTCCACCTCCTCCTCCTCCTCCTCCCCCTCCTCCTTCTTCTTATCCTCCTCCTCCTCCTCCTCCTCCTCCTCCTCCTGCGGCGCGCGCGGGTCTCCCGCGGGCGGGCGCTCTGTGGTCGGGGGCCGGCGCAACCCTCCCCCAACCCAGGATGCGGCCCACCGCTCGGCGGTGAGCCGCCCCCGAGGAGGAGAGGGTGCGCCGGCCGGAGCATATACCTCGCTTGCCCGGGAGCGCCAGGGGGACCAGCAGGAACCGGTAGTGGCTCGCGAGCGCAGCGCCCCGCCCTCCGGGCGGCCGCGCCAGCCGCGCCCGCTCGCTGCCGCCCCCGCTGCGAGCGGGCCGGCCGCGGCGCCGCCTGGCAGCGCCGCGGCGTCCAGCACCGGCAGCGGCGCAGGGGCCGCCGCGGGCCGCGGGCCAGGTGGTTGTGACGTTGGAATCCTCCCCCACCTGACCCAATGCGCGCCCGCGGCGGCCGCGCCGCAGCGTCCGCGGCGTGGGGTGGCCGCTGGGCAGCGCCGGCAGCCGCGGCGGCGGCGGGGGGCCGGGCCAGCCTCCGCCAGCGTCTCAGCGGCGGTCGCCCAGCAGGGCGCGCGGCTCGGGGCGGCCAGGCGGCGCGCAGGAGCGGGCGCGCCTCCCTGCAGCCCGTCGGCCTAGCCGGGGGCGCTCAGCCTGGCAAGGGCAGCGCCGCCGCAGGCCGGGCGCTGAGTCTGGCGCGGCGCTCGGGCGGGGCGGGGCCGTCGGGGCCCGGCAGGCGGCGCGCCGCGCCAGCGGCCAGGGTGGCCGTGCGGTGAGCCTCGGCGTCGCCGCGCTGCAGAGCGGCGGCCAGGCTCTGGTGCGCCGCCGTCAGCGTCGCCGGGTCGCCCGCCACCCAAGTCCGCAGGAGCGCCTGCGCCTCTTCCCGGCTCGGCCCTGCGCCTCCAAGGCGAAGGCGACCAGCGCCGGGCCCGGGTAGCGCCTGTGCTTGCGGGCCTCCGCCGCCGCCGCCGCGGCCCCGTCGCGCGCGGCGCGGCTTCGCCCGGCGGCTGTGCCCGCGCCCAAGGCCGCGTCGGTGATCACCACGTCGGCGTAGGTGACCCCGGCGACCGGGTCGGTGAAGGCCACGTCCAGCCGCGCGGCCTCGAGGGTGCCGTCCGGGCGCGGCCTGTCCCAGGCGGGGACGAATTGCTCCATCCCCACGCCTGTGGCGCCCCGCTCCGCTAGCCAGCGCGCGAGCCAGTCCCGGACGCCGTCGTGCTTCAGCACAGTGCCGCCCCCGATTGGGCAACCCAGGGGATGCCCGGGGTCTGCGCGCAGGTCAGCCCCGCAGTTGGAGCCGTCGGGGCGGCGCCGGAGGCAGGTTGCGCTGGCCCCCGGCGGCAGCGGTAGGCGGAGCCGCAAGGCCAGCGCCGGGCGGAAGTGCTCGTCCGCCAAGACGTGGTCCGGCTCTGTGGGCGGGAGGAGCCAGCTCCCGGCGCCTTTCCCGCTGGCCGAGCGGAGGCTCGCCTGCTCTGGCGGCGGCAGGGAGGCGAGCAGGAGAGCGCGGCGCCGCTCCTGTGCCGGCCTCGTGAGGCGCCGCTGCGCTTTCGCCTCGCGCTCCGTTGCCGCGCGGAGCCAGTCCGCGGCGCTCGCGCCAGCCAGGCGCCCCGCCTCTCTCGCCGTCGTCCAGGTCCGGGGGCAGGCCGCGGCGAAGGCCCCGAGGCTCGGTAGACCGAGCTCGCGGCGCACCTCGGCCAGACACGCCAGCCAGGAACCCACGAAGGCGGGCAGGCGGCGCTCCCCGAGGCTGTGCAAGCCGAGCCCCCCGTCTGCCAGGGGGAGGCAGGCCTGCTCGCGCGCCGCCGAGGTCAGGGTCTGCCCAGTCACGCTTTCCAGGTGCCCCAGGACCCGAGCGTCGTAGTCAGCGCACCAGGCCTCGCTGAGCAAGTGCGCGCGAGCGTGGTGCAGGGCAGCACCGTTCGCAAAGGTGCGAAGGAGCGTCAGCTCGTCCTGCGCCCTCAAGCCGTGCTTGCGCAAGGTCTCGAGGGCCGTCAAGTAGGCCGCCAGGTGCCTGGTCGCCGTCTCCGGCGCGGCCGCCGCGCCGAAGCTGGTCGCCGCCGCGTCGTGGTCGTCGCCGAGGCCCTCGGCTGCGGCCCCGCCGAGGAAGGGCAGGCGGCTGCCCACGCACGTGAGCTCGGGTGTCTCCGCTGCGGCAAGGGTCGCAGGCAGCTGCACGTCTTGCGGGTTCCACACCTTGGTTTTGTCCCCGTTCAGGCGGAGTCCGCGCGCCGCGTAGGGTCCCGGCGCGGCTGCTGCGGCCGCAGCGAGTTCCTCCAGCGTGCCCACGAGGTAGACGTCGTCCAGGTACGCCACCACGATGGCGCCCGTGTCCCGCCGCAGCGCGTGCGCCAAGTCCTCCTCCTCCTCCTCCTCCTCCTCTTCCTCCTCCTCCTCCTTATCCTCCTCCTCCTCGGCGACCGACCCTGAGATCCGACGTTGCGAACCGAGTGCAGCAGCGCAAGGACGTCACGGCCACGAGACTCGTGGAGGACGATCAATGGAGAGGAAGCGTGTTGCCAAATAACTTCCAGATGTCTGAAACATGTGTTCAGCATGAGCTAAACATGTATAGAACATGTTTAGAACATGTTTCTCCCTACATGCAAAAACGTGTTAAACTCAATGGTAGGACTGTTAGGGTGTCCATTGTCGTGGCATCCACAACACTAGACTCCATCTTTCCGCGGCACTCCTCGAACGGGATCGGTCCGGGGACCAAGACTGGGCGAAACCGCCCAGTGTCAAAGCCTTGCGAAGCTAGGATCTCAAAGGGAGAGGCACGCCTGGGGGCTCCCGGAGGGCGCGCCCGACGGCCAGCAGGCCTCTCCTTCCAAGATCCAGGCCCCCTAAAAGGGGGACTTTATGGACGAAGCTGGGTCACTGGCGCGCCCGAGAAATCGGCAGCCGCAGCTCGAGTCCTAGGTAGCAGCGTTCTGGGGTACAGGGGGCCTGACAGGAGCACTCCTGCCCGTTCGTCACCAACGCCGACGTGGCGCGCATGGCGGAGGGGGCGGACTGGCGGCTCCCGCTGTGCCGGCAGCGGTGGCTGCGGCGCGTGGAGCCCCCGGGCCCGAAACGAAAGCACTGGCAAGGCCTAGAACACGTGCATCACCAGCCTCGAACTTCTCCCTATCCCGAAGATTGGCACGCCAAAAGGCGATGACAATCCTAGGGATGCGCCCTGAAAAACTAAGGGAATCCCTAAGATTGGCATTGTGATGAGGCGATGCCCAGCTCAGGGATAGGGATCTGTTCCAGGCTGGTAAATGCAGCATATCGAACACATCTGGACGCAGGTTCTTCCCAGTTTTCGGGGCCGTGGGACCGTCAGAGAGCGACCTGGGATGAGACACCGGTCCTGGGGAAGGCGATCAGGCTTCTGGGGGGTCCATGCTGTAAAAGAGCACGGCGTCAGGTGTCTGAGAGTTTTGATGCTTCTCGCCTTGCTGCGCCTTCTGGGAGGCCCTTGTCGCCACTGCCCGATTCGCCTCGAGCCCTTGGTCTGAGCGCGCTCCAAAACAGGCCCCGTGGCTTCTTTTCAGGGACAGGGAGGGGACCATAAAGCTACTTTCGCAAATGTTTTCCCCCCCTGGGCTGGTCCCCCGACCGCTGCCCCTCAGAGAGGGCGGAGGGGACAGGAGGTCGGGGGAGGAGGAAGGGGAGGCACGGTGTCTTCTTCGTCATCCTCTTCGAAGACATGAAGAAGAGCGCCGCAAGCCCCATCATAACCAGCTTTTCTCCAAGCAGCCCTGGGCGAGTGCTAAAACAGCTCTACCCTGCTCGCATCGTCTGACGTCTACGATGCTTCCAGACCCTCCTCCACCGGAGGGCGCCCCCCAGGAGGCCCAGCGAACTGGGAGCATGAGCATCGCGTGTCCTCACTTCCTTCTCCATTCCAGACTTGCGACGCCGTGGTGTTTGCAACTCCTGAGCCCCATGAGTTCTCGAGCCCTTCCTTGGGAGACAGCTTTCCATCACGGATCGACGTTGGGCTTGGAAACGTCCCCGCGGATCCGAAAACGACGCAGTATGTATCGAAGACGCCTACGGCGAATCACCGCCGCCCCCTGCCTTTGTGGAAGCGCCTATGTGGCCGAACGTTGAGGCCAGACCTGCCAAGCCATCGGACCATGTGTTCCCCGAATCGGTTTGGAAAGCCTTCGGGGAACACGTGGGCGTCTTGATGGTCATCGTCGTCGTCTTGGAGGCCTCTTGGGCGATCTTTCGGCGATCTTTGGGGGCTCTTGGGCCGTCTCGGGCCGTCGGAAGGCCGAAAGAAGGGAAATGCCCAAATCCATCAAAAACCTTGGGAAAATCAGTGATTTTGGCATCTTTTGGCCTTCCTGGAGGCCCTCTTGGGGGCCTCTTGGGCCCTTTTGGGCCAGCTTCGAGCCAACTTCGGCCATCTTGGTGGGTTCCTGGCACGTCTGACGCCGTCGGGAGCCGTTTTGGGGGCCTGTCTGGGCCAACGGGGGACCCTCTTGGGGCGCTCCAGGGCCGTCTTGGAGGCCATCTTGGGCGTCTTGGAGGCCATCTTGGGCGTGTTGGAGGCCTCTTGGGCCGTCTTGGGGCCCTCTAGGGGCCATCTTGGAGGCCACTTGGGCCATCAGGGGCTCTCTTGGGGGCCTCTTGGGCGATCTTGGGGGCTTCTTGGGCCGTCTTGAGCCGTCGGAGAGCCGAAAAGGCGCAAATGCCAAAATCCTTCAAAAACCAAGGAAAATCAATGATTTTGGCCTCTTCGGACTCTCCTGGAGGACCTCTTGGAGGCCTCTTGGGCCGTCTGGGAGGCCTCTGGGGGGCCTCTTGGGCCGTCTTGGGCCGTCTTGGACTCTCTTGGGCCGTTTTGGAGGCCGTCTTGGACCATCTCGGGCGGACTTGGAGGCCATCTTGGGCCATCTTCGCGATTTTTTGAGGATGTCCCGAGCGAAACGGCCGTTTTTGCGCACGGTGGCGGGTTCTGCCGGAGCCCACTGGGGAGTTCTTTTGGAAAAAGAACCAAAACCAAAACCTAACAGCTCATCCAGCACGCCGTGCACCCCTGCAAGCAGGGGGCGGCGGATATACTGGCTTTCGGCCCATCCCGCCACCGTGCATGGGTCGTGGGCATGAAGCCTAGTGGATGTTCGTTGGGATCTCGTTGGAGGCCTTGCGGGGGCCGCTTGGAGGCAGTTTTGGGACCTCTTGGGGCCCGTTGTGTGGCTATTGGGGCCTCTTTTGGATCTCTTAGTGGCCTCTTGGGATCTCGTGTGGGCCTCCTAGGGGCCTCTTGGGCCTCCTGGGCGCCTCTTGGGGCCTCCTGGGGGCCTCTTGGGGCGGAAGGCTCGGATTTTCGGTTCGCGTTCCCTCTCTTGGGCCCCTTGTGGGGCCGTCTTGGGGCTCTCGTGGGCCGTATTGGGCGCCTCTTGGGCCGCCTTGGGGCGCTCTTAGGTCATCTTGGGGCCCTCGTGGATCTTGGAGGCCTCTTGGGCCGTTTTGGGTGGTCTTAGGGGCCTCTTGGGCCGTCTTGGAGCGTCGACAGCAGATAAGGCGAGAACGTCAAAATCCGACAAACACTCCAGGAAAATCAATGATGCTTGCCTCTGGGGGTCGTCTTGGGAGGCCTCTCGGATGCCTTGTGGACGTCTTGGAGGCCCCTTGGGCCATCTTGAGGCCATCTTGGGCGTCTTGGAGCGATCTTCGTGCGTCTCGGGGCCTTCTTGGGCCATCTCGGAGAGCCTCGTGGGGCCCTCTTGGCCCGTCTTCGGGCCCGAGAGGGCCCGAAAACGTCACGCGGGGAGCCGCGCCACGCCCCGCCAAATGCTGGGATTGGGAGCCCAGGCCCCTGAAAGACTCCTCCGGACCGAGGACTGCGGCTCCAGGGAGGAGTCGGAGGACCTGGGGGCACGCCCACTCCGTGCCCAGATGCACGGCGGCCGGTGCAGATGGGCGTCGGGCATTCATCAGGAGGGACAAAAATCACGTACACAATTCAGCATCGACTCCCAGGAAGTATGGGAAAATATTGGAAACGGGGGGAAAGACAAACACCCAGAAATTGTATTTGTGTGTATTCATTTGTGGTATTTATTTGGGTGTATTTATTTGTGTGTATTCCTGATACACACACAAATGACAGGATCCCCAAAAATATGGGGATCCTGTTATTTGTGTGTATTTCTTTGTGTGTCCCAGGGCCCCTTCAATTCAATGCCCTGGAGGCCTGGGCCCCTGTCCCCCTCATGGCTGTGCGGTCTGTGTCTCTGTGCCCCGCAGGAAAAGCACGCGCACGTGACCTGGGCGTTTGGCCCCTCAGGGGAGTTCGGCGCCAACTTCCCGCCTAAGATGCGCCGGTTCTTGACGAGCAGGTCGCGGGAGGAGGAGGAGGAGGAGGAGGAGGAGGAGGAGGAGGAGGAGGAGGAGGAGGAGGAGGAGGAGGAGGAGGAGGAGGAGGAGGAGGAGGAGGAGGAGGAGGAGGAGGAGGAGGAGGGAGGAGGAGGAGGAGGAGGAGGAGGAGGGGGGAGGAGGGAGTGGCGTACGGAGGAGGAGGAGGAGGAGGAGGAGGAGGAGGAGGAGGAGGAGATGGACGGGGAGGAGGAGGAGGAGGAGGAGGAGGAGGAGGAGGAGGAGGAGGAGGAGGAGCAGGAGGAGGAGGAGGAGGAGGAGGAGGAGGAGGAGAGAGGAGGAGAGAGGAGGAGAGAGGAGGAGGCGGGGGAGGAGCTACGGAGGAGGCGTTGAGACGAACAAAGAAAGGCATGGGCAGGCGGAGTAGGACGAGCAGGAGGGCGATGAGGAGAGCGAGGAGGGAGGAGCTGGAGGAGCGGGAGGAGGAGAAGGAGGAGGAGAAGGAGGAAGAGAAGGAGGAGGAGAAGGAGGAGGAATGCGAATAAGACGAAAGAGGATGAGGTGGCGGAGGCGGCCGCGCAACGATGGAATGGGCAGGTCCCTTTCTGGGGGGGAGAGCGCGGAGGTCGTACGATGAGGTGGCGGGGGGGAGAGGAAGGAGGTGGCGGCAGGAGAACGAAAGGGGGAGGACCAAGAGGGGAGAGGGAGGAGAACGAGGCAAAGGATGAGTGATGAGGGAGGAAGAGGATGAGGAGAAAGAGAGAGATCCACATCTCCGACGATGTGATAGTTCGTCAAAATCGGGGTTCGGGACCCATTATTGGACATGGTGGCAGTCGAAGACGTATCGGGTGCGAACAAGAAGAACAGACTGGTTTGAGCGGTCCCCATCGAAACCTTCGGCGCTTGATCCCGACGGTGCGCCCGTCTTCTGGAACGATGAGCGCAGGGCCCGTTGATCTCGGCCGGCACGGCGGCCAGGCAAGGTCGCAAGTCGCCGTTGCCGAAGAATCTAGCAGCCCGAGGTTGTCGCAGGAGGATCGCCCCTGACGAAAGAAACCGAAACAAGCCCTGAAGCGAAAATCCACACCCAAAAGCACGTGGTGCGAACGAGGCACCAAAAACTCGTTCGGAGAAAATCGGCAACCTGTTGAACGAGGAGAAGTAGGAGAGTCTCGATTCTGTTCGCGTGGGTCCTCCCCCGGTGTAGTACACGTATTTATGATATGTTATGCTGTGCTCTGGACGGACGGGCGTGACGTCGTGACGAGTTCGCGAACACCAGGCACCGCGTGTCGTCGGCGTTGGCAGCTTATTCTCCGCTTGCCTTCAAGACGTTCGGTTCGGCCGTCCTCAACGTCGCCTACAAGTTCGCTTTCTCAAGTTCCCTCGTGCTGAGCCGCCTTTTGTTTGCATTCCACACGCTCATCCCGACTGGCTGAGACTTGAAAACGAAGAACGGCTGCTGCATGAGGGGCCTTCGTCGCATTGCCAGCGTGTCTCGTTTCACCAGCGTTTGCCGGCAAGTTCGTGAGCAACTCCATCAACCCAGCCTGGATTGCTTCCTACGGCGGCTGGCGTTCGCCGCCCGACTGTGCCGCGATCGGCCAGACGTCCTGTTCGCTCTCCTTCCATCGGCCCGAGCCTCGAATGCCATCCTTGGGTGGAACTGCTTACCCAAGATGTCAGCATTGTCAAAAATACCACTCACGAGGCCGATTCGCCTAGTCTCCTCGAGCCTCCCCGCTTTTGGCACGACAGCATGCTGCATGCCCGCGAGTGGCACGCCATGCTTGATGGTGTATTGTTCCTTGACTCCAACTGCGACAGCCATGTTGCAGCGGCTTCTGATGGACCTTTCCGCCCTCTTGCATGTCCGGACTGCAAGCGCGCTTTTGCTACAGCGCGTGCGTTAGAGACGCACGCGCGCATCAAACACCATAAACGGAATCTTCTTCGCGAGTGTGTGCCGTCAGCAGTTTGCCCCTGCTGTCGCACAGATCTTCAGCAGCGGCTCCGCTGCCTTGCACGCTTGTCCGACCGACGTCGGCCCCGCTGCGGGCTCTGGGTGCTCAAGCACTCGCCGCGCCCGCCGCCCGACGGAGTGGCGCGTCTCGACCCGATTGACGGACCTTTTCAGACGCGACGCTCAGCGCCGGGGGCGATCCCGCCACATAGCCAAACGTGTTGCCCGTGCTAGCTCTGGCCGGGTTGTGGGGCGAGCCTCTGCGTGACCGCATTTTTCATTGCACCCACTGGCGATTGCACGTCCTCGTGGAATGTGTACGTACATCTATATATATATATATACATATGCATATATGTGTGTATATATATACACATATACGTATGCGGCGCAAGCCGTGTATTGCAATGTGTGCGGGGGCAACTCTGTGGTGCAATCTAGGTGGTGCAAATTGCGCGGGGCAGTGTGTGTGGTGCAAACTCGGAGGCGCAGCCCATGCGCTGCAGGCTATGCGGCACAGTCTGCGCGTCGAGAACGGAGCGCCAGCCTGCGCCCGAGGCGCCCGCGGGGCGCCCACGGGTGAGCATCGGGTGGGCGCGGGGCGAGTACTCGGAACACCCTCCCAGCACGAGGCGTCCACGACCTGCCCACTGGCGGGCACGGGGCGCCAGCAAGAGACAATTCCTTTTTATTCAACTGCCGAGACGGACAATTGAGAGCCCCTGTGAGAGCAGTCGCTCGTTGTGGAATAGTCCGGGTAGCAGGGTGTGGAAGGGGTGGGCACGAGAAAATGGCGCAGCAGGAGGAAAAACAGGATTGGACGACAAAGAGGAGGATGAGGAGGACTAGGATAAGAACACGGAGATTGACAAGACGAGAAGGAGGAGGATGAGAGAGGAGCAGGTGGACAGGGAGCCGTCGACTACGACAGCCGCCACGACGATGGCAGACGGACGCGGCCACGACCTCGACCACGACGACGACGACCACCACGGCGAGGCGACGACCACGACGCCGACGACGCCCCGACGACGATGGTGACGACGATGGCGACGACGACCACCACCACCAGGTCCAAGGCGGACGCCCCGCCTGCCGCCCCGGAGCCGCCCGCCAGCGCGCGCGGCGGGCCCGCAGCGGCGGCGGCTGGCAGTGACCGCTGGGCGGTCGCCGGGGACCGCCCGCGTCCTCCTCGTCCTCTTCCTTCCTCCTCGTCTCCTCGTCCTCCCTCTTTGCCTCCTCGTCCGCCTCGTCCGTTCTCCTCGTCATCGTGCTCTTTCTCGTCTTCTTCGCCCTTCCTTCTCATCCTCCTCGTCCTCCTCGCCCCCTTTTGCTTTCGTGGAGTGGACGTAATCTTTTGTGAAGTCTTGCGTCTGCCTCATCCCCTTCCTCGTCCTCCTCGTCCATCTCCCTCCTCCCCCCTCCTCCTCGCCCTCCCTCCCTCCTTCTCCTCCTCTTCGTCCGACCTCCTCCTCGTCCCTCCCCCTCCTTCATCCTCGATCTCTGCGGACACGGTTACTCAGAGCAGGAGCGTCGCTTGGTCCTCCGCACTGATCACCTCGACACCGTGGCTGTCCATCAGTCCCCGGTCCGGTGCAGGACACGGGGGTGCTGGTCGCCACCCCCGCTCGCGCAGCCCCCCCCCGTGCGATTCCGGGCGGTGGCGGCCCGCCGCCAGTTGGAGGAGGAGGAGGAGGAGGAGGAGGAGGGGGAGGAGGGAGGAGGAGAAGGAGTAGGAGGAGGGGCAGAAGGAGGTGCAGCAGGAGGAGGAGGACGCGGAGGAGGGGACGCCTCCTCGCTTGCAGTCCTCGATTTCTCCTCCCGGGCCTTCGAGGGTACTCTCCTCGTGGCCACGGCCAGCAGCAGCTCGAGGAGGGCCGGTGTGGAGATGGCGCCCCCGGGAGGGGTCCAGGGGCCCGTGTGGAGCTCGGGGGCGGCCACGAGGGGGGTGATGACTAGGGGGGGTGGATATCATGGCAGGGGCCATGATATCTCCCCAGATCTCATGGCGCCTCTTCTTATTCTAATGCGTCCAGGGCCCCGCCCTTGGCCGTGCGCATGCCGCCGGCCATCAGTTGCGCCCCCCTTTCTTGGACGTCCCCTTCTTGGACGCCCCCGATGAGCAGATATCAGGATGGGTGGAGGGCTGGGAGGAGGTGGGTTCAAGGGGGGGTCCTGGGAGCGCGGGAGCAGATAGGAGCGAGACGTCTCAATAGGATTGCCGTTGCTGTCGTCTGCGTTGTCGCCGTCGTTGTCGCCATCGTCGTCGTCGGTCGACGTCATGGGTCGAAGCCATCGGTCGACGACGTCAGCGCTGGGCGGTCGCCACAGACTGCCAGCAATATTATCGTGTCCGTCGTCGACCGATGTCGTTGTCGTCCTCGGCCAGCGTCGACGTCGACGGTCGACGGTCGACGGTCATCGGTCGACAGCGTCGGGGCGCTGGGCAGTCGTCGGAGAACTGCCGCACCGCCGCACCCGCTGGCCCTCCTGGGTGTCCTCTGCGCTGCGTGTTTGCAGCTGCTCCCTCCCTGGCCACCTCCGCGGCTGCTGTCCCAGACCTCTAGTGACTTTTCGTTTTTGAGCCTCGCGGGGCTCTTGGATTTCGGACTCCAGGGCCCGTCGTGGGGCGTCCCGGAGCCAGCAACGATGGAGCTGGGGCGGAACGTTGCTTCCTGAGAAGTCGGCGAGACCCCCGGGGCGCAAATGGAAAAAAACAAAACATATCCTCGGAGATCTGGATCTTCTTCTTCTCCTCTGCGCAGGTGCACAGTCTGCCAGCCTGCGGCCCGCTCCAGCCCGGACGCGGTGAGGCTCACGTCGCTGCGCCGACAAGTGAACGATTTTTCAGGTGTGCAGCGGCTCTTCGGGGGCGCCGGGCGGTCGTGGTTTCGGCCCGTCAGCTGTTCACTCAATGGTTCCCCCCTGCCTCCTGGCCTTCTTCGCCGCGCCTGCTGGCCTCATCCTTCTGGGGTCTGGCCTGTCAGTGGCCCATAGATGGCAATCCCCAGGCGTTCGACGACATGAGGAATTCAATCCCAATTGATCCATGTGTGTCTGCATCCGAGGTTCGTTGTTGGTCTGAGTCTCGCTGTCGGGCCCCAGGCTCATCAAAATTGGATCCGGGGCCGCAAAACGTAACTTGGGGACAGGGTCGGGGCCTCTTGAGCTGCGGATGGGAAAACATCAGATCAGCTGAAGTCCAGGAACAGTTCCCTTCAGATAGCCACGCCCTGCGCGTTTCATTCCATCATTTCCGCTACAATTTCCATAGTCGGCGAGACCCCCGAGGCGATGCGAGCGCGGCGATGAGTGCCGCGTCCAGTCCGTGCAAGGAACGCGTAGGTTTTGTGTTGTGTCTTGACGGGCAGGGTAGGCAAGGGGCCCACTCTGGCGTATTTGCACATCGAACAACATGGATAACTAGCGATATGAACAGGAGGCCCCGCATAGGAGCTCATACATGAGGTTTGCACGCGTGAACGGCCGACCCCAGCACACAGCTCATACGTAAGAGCCCACGCGCAACAGTCCTCACGTAGTCTGGCTCACACGCGTCAACGTTCAAGCGCCCTCGCAAGAACAGCCGGTCCCGGCACACAGGCCACTACAGTCCACGCACAGGAGCCCACGCATACAATTATTTGCCGGAACGGCAGAGCCTGCAAGACAAGGCCAGCCCCTTATACCTTATACCCTAATCAATAATCTCTATGTGCAAGCGCCGCTTTGAGGACCGCCCCTACCACCACTTCCCTTCCCCCGCTTCCTCTGTGGATGGCGAGGAAGAAGTATGGAGGAGGAGGAGGAGGAGGAGGAGGCGTCTGCAGTGGTAAGCTTTGCACAGCCCCAGGTCCGGACCCTGGAGGTCCCTGGAGGCCCCTGGAGGGGCGAGAAGCTTCGAAGACTTATGCCCTCGACCCTCGAGGTGTGAGGGCTAATTTCAGCAGGGCGAGGAGGCGTCGGAAGGGGATCAGGGCCGAGGGGGAAGGCCACACTCAGGAGGGAAAGAAACACACATACACAATTAATCGTCGACTCCCCAGAAAATATGGGAAATTAATTGTGGGAAGTGGGGAGGAAGACAAACACCAAGAAAATATTGGAAAATATCGGGAATCCTGTTATTTGTGTGTATTTATTTGTGTGTCCCAGGGCCCCTTCACACACGGGCGGTGGCAGCGCGGGGCTTCCAGGTCGACGGGCTCTTCCCGCCGGTCGCGGCGCTGAGGGTCCGCTCGTGCCAGCACCGGGTGCTCTTCATCCTGTGCACGCACAAGTCGCCGGGGCGCAGGAGCTTACCAGCCTGGAACATATCCCTATCCCTATGCTGGGCACCTCCTCATCACGATGCCAATCTTAGGGATTCCCTTATTTTTTGAGGGCGAACCCCTAAGATTGTCATCGCCTTTTGGCGTGTCAATCTTAGGGATGGGAATACGTTCGAGGCTGGTAAGGAGCGACCAGCAAGCGAAAACGTGTACGCGACGCTCCGTGGGTCTCGAGAGCAGCCGTCGTGCGAACATTCGTTGGACGAGGCTGGCCTTGCGGACTGGGGGGGTGGGGTCGCATTCATCTCGGCATCGCTCGGACGTGTGTATTTTTCCTTCGGCCAGGGCCATCGAGGAGCATCCTTGATCATTTGGCGAAAAAATAACCACGCACGACACCGACAAAGACAGGGAATGGACGTCCGAGCGATGGCCAGTCATGTGCATGGCTTGGCGAGCACGTTTTCTTTCCCAACTTTCTTATCATGCCAGCCCTGAACCTGCTCGCAGCCAGTCACGACCTAACTCGGACCCGGGTCCCCACCGCGCCCCCCCTCACCAGTTCACCACAAATCACTGTGCGGTGGACATCCGTTGATCGTACGATCGGTTCATTTTTGGTTTGGGCATAAAAGATATGGCGCTCTCGCGTAATACCTCCTCCCTCCCTAGCTGCCCACCTGGGATCGATTACCTGCGTCCCTCCCTCCACATCATGCAACACGTACATTATGGTGGACATCGGTTGATCTCAACATCGTCTCATCAAAACGGAGACGGCTCTATAGCGTCATATTTAATCCAAATTGACCGCACCTCGGATGTTCTATCCCATTCCCGATCCTCCCGCACCCATCCTCTGCAAGACATGCGTTTAGGTGGACGTCGCCCCATCCGAACATCGCCATATCAAAACAAATATGCCATTTCGGATCGTCTTACCATCCGCCACATCTCCCTCCACCTAGTGCAACAGAAAGTTAGATGCCGGTGGAAATTGGCTGGTCGATCGCGCTCTCGATCGATACTTCCTTCCAGTTGACCCACTTCGATCGTCTAACCATCCATGACCCCCCATCCATCCGATACAACATAATGGCTGAGTTTATGCTTGACGCATCATGAAGTACGCGGCGCTCCCAACTGAAAGTTCTCCAGTTCACCCACTCCGAACCGTCTCGCCGTCCAAACCCGAACCATCAACGGCGCTCTCGCTCAAGACGCGCGTCGAAATCATCGCCATCATCATCGTTAGCTTCCACATGGCCGCCATCGCATTTATCGTCGCCAGCGCTGTCGCCGCCACCAGCATCAACATTCACATCTTCATTTTCATCCCGCCGCCACCGCAGTGGGCGTCAAGGAACAGGGGAGCCCATTCCGCGTCAATTCGTTCGGCGCCCTAGGCCGGCCATTCATATAGTAAGGACAAGCCCCGACCGTCTTGAAGGCAACTGAACAGCTCGCGCAACCATCCTCAAGGGTGGAAAAACCACCCCGACCCCGACAGGTCGCGTTTACTAAACAGCCCTGGGCGTTTTCTAAACAGCCCTGCCCTGTTTGATTCCTCTTTGGGTGTGTTTACTGAACGGCTTCGCGTGTCGGGGTGGTCATTGTCGGGGTGGATTTTCTGCCCTCTACATCCCCCTCGCGCCCGCAACCTGTTCGGCAAAACCAATTCGGCCACGTCTGTGGCTCCTGGCTGGGCTTTGCTGTCGCGTGCGGCCGCGATGGCGCTCACCAGCGGGAGTTCCCCAGCGTGTCTCAGAGGCCGCGCTGGCGCGCGGGCACGTCAGGGCGGGTAGGTGACTTTTGCGGGCGCGATATCTATCCTGATGACGTCAACAACGGCAGCTGCGATGATGACAATAACGATGGCGCTGGCGATGTCGACGACGACGGCGGCAAATGATTATGATGATGCTGACGATCCGTCGCTGGCGCGGTTAAGTGTGACGCCGATGCTTATGATGGCCGCAATGGGAGCGATCGGCGATGACGAGAACGGCTGAGATCCGATAGCGATGATGGGGTGATGAGGAGGCGCGCTGGAACACATTCCAACAAATTGAATGTTTTCTCTTCGGAGACAGTTGGTTGTTCATGTGTCTTTGAAGAGTTCTATCCGGAAATGTGTCGGAAACCGATGGTTGCGGAAGGAAGTTCGATGCGCGTGTAGCGGTGAGCGCATGTGGGTCGCATGGCGTTTTTGTTGACGCGGGTTCGCGCAATAGGCGCATGTTGGATCAATACGGGTGCACTTCGTTGTGCGGGTCCTGGGCGAGATTGTTCAAGCTATCCGATTTTTATATGATTGCAGCACGGTTGCGCGGGCAGAACATGTCCAGATGCTGCACTCCAGTGTTAGTGGCTCCTTTCCTGGCTCTGTACTGGCACGCTTGCAAAAAAAAAAAAGGTGCCCAGTTCTTGCTCGACATGTGTGGAGCGGGAGGGACGAACCGCGTGCCGCAACACAAGTGGGAGGCCCCTTCAAGGCGGAACCCGGTGCACAGGGGGAAACGACAGTCCGCCACGTCTTCGGCGGGCAGGGCAGCGGGAGGGGCATGAACCCCAATCGGGAGGAGAGGGCAAAGGACGGGAGAAGGGGCGTGTGTGAGTGAGTGAGTGTGTGTGTGCTTGTGAGTGCTTGTGTGTGCGTGTGTGTGTGTGTGCGTGTGTGAGTGTGTGTGTGTGGGTGTTTGTGTGTGCTTGTGTGTGCTTGTGTGTGTGTGCGTGTGTGTGTGTGTGTGTGCGTGTGTATGTGTGTGCTTGTGTGTGTTTGTGTTTTTGTGCGTGCGTGTGTGCGTGTGTGCGTGTGTGTGTGTGTGTGTGTGTGTGTGTGCGTGTGGGTGTGGGTGTGTGTGTGTGCGTGTGGGTGTGCGTGCGTGTGTGCGTGTGTGCGTATGTGCGTGTGTGTGTGTGCGTGTGTATGTGCGTGCGTGTGTGCGTGTGTGCGTGTGTTCGTGTGTGTGTGTGTGCGTGTGGGTGTGTGTGTGTGTGCGTATGTGCGTGTGTGTGTGTGTGTGTGTGAGGGTCGGACGCGTCGACCCCCAATCCCCCAGTCATCCCCGATTGGGGCCCCGATGGCCCACCTCGCCCGAGAACGCTCGGAGTCGTGATCGGGAGCAGAACACCGCGTTATCGGCGATGTTTCGCCGACTCCAGGTCGATGGTTCCACCCCCCGGTTCCCAACCAATGCTTTTATTTTCAGGGATGGTGGGGAAGCGTCGACTCCCGCTGCATCCCCGGACATCCTCTGATAGGTTTTCCTGGCTCGCGGCCCCAGAAGTCCCAACCCTTCCCAAGCGGCAGTTGTTCGTGCCGTACCCGTCTTGGACAGCCTCGGGGCCCATGAAAGGACGCCAGATACCGAAATCAAAGAACAACGTCCGGACTGAACAAACATATCATCAGAGATCTGGTCTAGGCTTCCTAGATGGGGTCGGAGCAGATGGGGTCGAAGGATCGCGCCGCATCGCCGATGCATCGGCGATGCATCGCCGATGCGACTCGATGTGGGCCCACTTTTCTCCACGCCGACGTCGCCGATGCATCGCCAACGTCGCCAGTGCATGGCCGATGCATTCGCGATGCGGCGCGATCCTCCTACCCCATCTACTCGGACCCCATCCGGGAGGCCTCTACCCCTCGAAGGTCGGGGTGGCTGCTCCCGCACGCGAGGGGGCTGATCAAGGACATCGTGCGGCTTGGCGACGTCCAGGAGCGGGACGAGGACACAGAGATCCAGGCGGCGCTGGAGCTCCCCGGCGGCATCCAGTTCACGCGCAAGGCCTCCAGGCGTCCTAGATGGGGTCGGAGCAGATGGGGTCGAAGGATTGAGCCGCATCGCCGATGCGTAGGCGATGCGGCTCGACGTGCAGCCCGATTTGCTTCACGTCGACGTCACCGATGCATCGCCGACATCGACGACGCATCGGCGATGCATCGCCGACGCATCGCCGATACATCGGCGATGCATTGGCGATGCGGCGCGATCCTCCGACCCCACCTGCTCCGACCCCATCTAGGAGGCCTCTAAAGGCCTTCACGGTTGCCAGGTCCGCTCGGATTGGATCTGTCCATGTCCACCGCGGGGGGATCGATCTTCGGGGGCCTCGGCAAGTGGTTGGTACTGTATTCATGTATTCCCCCCCCGCGGGGCCCCCAGCATGTCCACATCCACCGCTTGCTGACCCAGGCGTCCGAGGATCGGAGTTTGCCTTCCATCCGCGGCCCCAGTGGTTCGGACCCCCTCACCCCAGTGGCCAGCGTTTCGCCCCTGATCGTTTCTCGAAGTCCCCAGGGCCCGACAAGTGGCCCCAGAGGCCGCAACCGAGGAAAAGTGCCTTGACCGCACGAAAGTCAGGTCGTCGATCGATTCCCCAGGCGGTGGGTTCGGACAAACTCTCCGTCGCGCACCAGGGTCGTCGGGGGGCCTTTCGACGGGCTGCAGTGCGTTGGAGTGCACTCCGACCGCGAGACGCG